CCCCTACCATCGGGCTCCTCCCCCTCCTCGTCCAGGTTGATCTCCTCGGGGTTCCCCTGCAGCGACAGCGGCTCCGGCCCCGCCTCCGCCCTGAGCCCAAAAACAGACCCCAAAATCGGAAATGGGACCCCAAAAACAGAACTGGGACCCCAAAAACACAAATGGGACCCCAACAACACAAATGGGACCCCAAAATCGGAACTGGGACCCCAGAAACAAAACAGAGACCCCAAAAATACCCAGGGACCCCAAATCAGCCCTGAGCCCCAAAACAGAGAGACCAGAGCCCTCCCCCCCCAGAGCTGCGGCTGCACCGGGCCGGGCTCGGGCCCCTCCCCCCGCACCACGTGACCCTGGAGCTCCGCCCCCCCGACGGGGGGGAGGGGCTGCTGCTGGAGGTGGGGGATGGGCGTGTGTGGGTGGATTTTGGGGTGTTTTTGGTGATGTTGGTGATTTTGGGGTGTTTTTTGGTGATTTTGGGGTGAATCAGAAACGGGACCCCAAAAACACAAACAGGGACCCCAAAATCGGAAATGGGACCCGAAAAACAGAAATGGGGACACCAAAAATACCCAGGGACACCAAACACAGAACTGGGACCCCAAAATCAGAACTGGGACCCCAAAACCAGAAACTGGGACCCCAAAAACAGAAACGGGGACACCAAAAATACCCAGGGACACCAAAAACACAAACAGGGACCCCAAAATCAGAAACTGGGACCCCAAAAACAGAAACGGGGACACCAAAAATACCCAGGGACACCAAATCAGCCCTGAGCTCAAAACAGACCCCAGAATCAGAAACGGGACCCCAAAAACACAAACAGGGACCCCAAAATCGGAAATGGGACCCGAAAAACAGAAATGGGGACACCAAAAATACCCAGGGACACCAAACACAGAACTGGGACCCCAAAATCAGAACTGGGACCCCAAAACCAGAAACTGGGACCCCAAAAACAGAAACGGGGACACCAAAAATACCCAGGGACACCAAATCAGCCCTGAGCTCAAAACAGACCCCAGAATCAGAAACAGGGACCCCAAAAACACAAACGGCACCCCAAAAATGGAACTGGGACCCCAAAAACAGAAATGGGACCCCAAAAATACCTAGGGACACCAAACACAGAACTGGGACCCCAAAAACAAAACTGGGACCCCAAAATCAGAAACAGAGACACCAAAAACACCCAGGGACCCTAAAACGAAAAACTGGGACCCCAAAAACAAAACAGAGACCCCAAAAATACCCAGGGACACCAAATCAGCCCTGAACCCCAAAAACAGACCCCAAAATCACAAACAGGGACCCCAAAAATACCCAGGGACACCAAATCAGCCCTGAACCCCAAAAACAGACCCCAAAATCACAAACAGGGACCCCAAAAATACCCAGGGACACCAAACACACAAACAGGGACCCCAAAATCAGAACTGGGACCCCAAAACCAGAAACTGGGACCCCAAAATCGGAACAGGGACCCCAAATCAGCCCTGAGCTCAAAACAGACCCCAGAATCAGAAACGGGGACCCCAAAAACACAAACAGGGACCCCAAAATCGGAAATGGGACCCGAAAAACAGAAATGGGACCCCAAAAACACCCAGGGACACCAAACACAGAACTGGGACCCCAAAAACACAAACGGGACCCCAAAACCAAAACAGAGACCCCAAAAATACCCAGGGACACCAAATCAGCCCTGAACCCCAAAAACAGACCCCAAAATCACAAACAGGGACCCCAAAAATACCCAGGGACACCAAACACAGAACTGGGACCCCAGAAACAGAAACGGGGACCCCAAAATCGGAACAGGGACCCCAGATCAGCCCTGAACCCCAGCAACAGGGACCCGAAAATCAGAAATGGGACCCCAAAAACACCCAGGGACTCCAAATCGGCCCTGAACCCCAAAAACAGGGACCCCAGAATTGGATCAGGGACCCCAAAAACACAAACGAGGACCCCAAACAGACAGACCCCAAAGCCAGAACAGGGACCCCAAAAACAGAACTGGGACACCAGATCGGCCCTGAACCCCAGATACAGGGACCCCAAAATCACAAACGGGAACCCCAAAATCACCCAGGACCCCAAGAACACGAACAGGGACCCCAGATCAGAACAGGGACCCCAAAAACAGAACTGGGACCCCAGATCGGCCCTGGACCCCAGATACAGAGACCCCAAAATCACAAACAGGAACCCCAAAATCACCCAGGACCCCAGAAACTCAAACAGGGACCCCAGATCAGAACAGGGACCCCAAAAGCAGAA